GCTGCGGCCAGTCGTGTCCCACTTACTCCTCCATTCCTCACCTCTCTCCTGTATTGTTACTATTTTAAAACTATTGAATTATCATAGAAATACAGAAAAGTATATGTATCATAAATGAATCTTCACAAGCTGAAACCCACCTAGAAATCGGCAACACACATATCCTCTTTGCCCACGACCAGTCCTCCCCCNCAGCTGGTAGTCTGAGATCTAACTGCACTGATTAGTTTTGCCCAGTTTGGTTCCTTAATCCTCAGTCAGGCGCGTCTGATGTCACAGATTGTTTTGAATTTCTGTTGATTTTTATACTGAATTTATGTAATACATATTGTTTTTACTTTGTGGCAAATTAAATTTTCGTTCTGAATAAATATTAAGCATGCTTACATGTTATTTTCATTCATTTTCGGTTTAAATAAATAAATGTCATACACACATCTAGTAGATGCATTGTGCCCAAACTTATAACTTGTGCATTGCACCTGATGGAGGGTTAAATAAGTAGACTCTTCTCTTGCTTCTGAGTGCTTTCTCTTGGCATTGTGTGTGGGATTATCCATGTTACTGCATGCAGCTGATGATTGCTCTTGTTATATGAAGTTTCGTTGTATGAAGTTATCTATTCTGTTGATGGACACTTGGATAGATGCCAGTTTTGGGCTATTACAGATTGGGCTGCTCTGAACATTCAAAGTTTGTGTCTTTTGGTGAACATATGAATGCATTTCTTTTGGGAATCTATCTGGGAGTGAAAATGATAGGCCATAGAGGTACACATGCATTCACTTGTGGAAGACTGGCTGGCTGTGTCTGCCAAAGTGGTAGGACCAGATTACATTGTTCCCAGCAGTGTGGTAGAATCCCTCTTACTCTGTATCCTCTCTAGTATCATGGTTTTCATCTTTTTCATTCTAGCTACACTCCTATCTGTTTGTGATCTCTTATGATAGTTGTAATTTGCAGTAGGGAAGTCATACTTTTCATACTTCTGTAGGTCATTTGGATATCCTTTTTTATGAAGATATATTGAAGTCTTTTGTTCTTTTTTTTTTCTTTCTATTGCATTATCTCTTTTTCTTATTACATTAGCTCTGTGTGGCTGTATTGCGAATTATCCCCTAACTTAGTGGCTTGTAACAACAATAAACATTTATTATCTCACAGTTTCTGTGGGTTAGGAACTTAGGAGTGGCTTGGCTGAGTGGTTTTGTCTTGGATGTGATCAGCCCTCTGAAGGATCCTTCCTGAGGCGGCTCATTCCCATGCTTGGCTATTGGTGGGAGGCCACCGTTCTCTTTCACTTCTGCCATGTTCTGTTTGTTAGAAGATAGTCACTTAAATCATCCAGCTTACATTTAAAGGAAGGGAGTTGGACTCCATTTTCTTGAAAGAATGAGTGTCAAGGATTTGAACACGTTTCCAAACACGACACTTGGTAGGATTTCTTTTACTCTGGATGAGTCTTTCATGAGATGCAAGTGCGGTGAATCTTTGCCTGCTCTGTTGGTGGTCGTTGTGTCTTTTGAGGAAGAAAAGTTAATATTAATGTTCTTCAAAAAACCCACACAGTTTTTGCTTAATATTATCTAATAGCTAACCAGAGTTGAGATTTCCAGTTGTCTCAAATATCATAATTTTTGTACAATTTAATAATTTTGGCTAATCAGGATCCAGATGAAGCCCACCAATTTAAAAAAGTCTATAGATTCCCTATTCATCATCTCCCCCTTGCCATCTCTTTGTGCAAGACCTGGATTGTTTGTTTTGTGGTGTCTGTCCCCAGTGTTCTGTCTGTTCTTTGTTCTACAGCCAGATAGCGGTAAGCTTCTCTATGGGGTAAGCTTCGTTGCATTCTCACTGGTGGTGGTTCTTTGGTTGTGATCTGTCTCTAGAGGTTGAATGTAGACCCAAATTGAAATTTTTGAAGGACTTCCAAACTAAACCACATTGAAATTCATTCAGATCAGAGTTGTTCTATGCTTAAAATGTAATGGTGTCCGTTTTAGAATGTACTTTCTACCCCATCACTTTCTGTGTGCTTGTGAGGCCATCTGAGCACACACTTTCTGTCTTCTGTAGAATGACATCTTGAGCATGCCACACCCTCTCCGGTAGTTTAAAGCGTTGCCGGGCATAACATAATAAGGTCCAGCTCTTGTTACTTAGACTTTCCGTGTTGATCGTCTCCTTGTATTTTTCTTCTTGTGCTGTCCGCCAGCTTTCTTTCTCTGGCAACTGAGTTTTTGAGTTGTGATGACCAATGTATTAAGGGTTGATGACTCAAAATCTTAAGGTCTCTTTAGGCCACTGTAAATTTCCAGTCTTCCTGACTGTCTTGCCCTCCTCATAGAAGCTTGAGCAATGAAAACTTAGAAAAATTAATGACAACAGGATTAGAATGAACATAAGAGGAGTAAACAAATGATTTAAAATTTGTGTATTTCTAAATTTAAACTTAGAAAGTTTTGTTTTCCTAATACAAATTGTATTTTTAAAGTATCATTCAACTTCAAGTAAATTAAAATTTTAGTGTTTGTTTTTAAGTGAACGTACATAAATGTTAGTAATTGTTGGACCTAATTCATTCAGCTAACATCTGGGTACCTGCCCCATACCAGGCCTGGTGCTTTCTGTGCTTTGGTCACACGTGGTTAAAAAGGTGGCCACGGGCTGGTGCCCTCAGTGACATGCTCAGGACAGTGACTCATAGGGAGACGATGCAGGCTGCATGTGTAATCTTAAGTTTTCTAGTGGCCTCATGAAAAAAGTAAAAAGGAACAGGGCTGGCCAAGTGGCTCAGCTGGTTAAGAGCTCGCTTGGGAGCGCCAGCTCTGAGCAGCAGGACCGCAGTTCGGATCCCACATTGAGGGCCAGTGACGCTGTGCCCTCTACAGCTAAGATGGTGAACAGCTCAGCCTGGACCTGGAGCTGGGCTGCTGTGAGTCGCTGGCTACGGCATAGGCTGCAGCGGGGCTGCAGTGGGCTACCGTGAGCTATGTGAGTTGCTGGCAGCCAGCGTGAGTGGCCAACCAATGACTGGTGACCGATTGCCTCACCCAGGAAGAGCACAATGATAATACCAACATGGGCCAGTGAAGCGGCGTCCTCCACAACTAGACTGAAGAACAAAACAGCAATTTGTCTACCTGTCTGTTCCCCTTCCCCGATTCTCCAGCGCTGTTCCCCTCCCCCAATTCCCCAATAAAATCTTAAAAAAAAAAGTAAAAAGGAATAGGTAAAATTAATTTTAAAATACTTCATTTAACCCAGTAATTCAAAATAGCATCGTTTCAACGTGTAGTCAATATAAAAATTATTGAGATGTTTTCACTTCTGTTTTTTTTGTACTAAGTCTTTGAAATCAGGTATGTATTTTTATATTCACAGCACATCTCAGTTTCAACTAGCTGCATTTCAAGTGTTCAGAAGCCTCATGTGGCTACCATAGTGGACTTCATAGATCAGAAGTATCATTATTGTCATTGCTCACGTGGAGTAGCAGGGGACATTGGCTAGGCTTGGAGACGCAGGGAGATGAATTAGGAAGCTGATCCTGTCTTCCGGGTGGGTTCAGAAGAAGATGGTGAAGGGGAGATACTCAGAAGGTGGAATTGACAAAATTTTGATGAGTTGGATTGGGAGGGAAAAGAGGAGCCAGGGTGTTTCCACGCTCGTTCTGTCACAGGGTGTGCCTTTTCTGAAACAGGGACGACTTGGTGGGGAAAAGATTTGGTTGGGGGCCAGTGTGTGATGGAGAGCAAGAAGCTCCACTTGGAGATCTTAAATTTGATGTGCTTGTGGGACATCCAAGGGGACATTTGTCCAGGAGGAGTTGGGTACCTGTGTTTGAAGTGTACAGATAGATGGTCTTACTGGTTTTATAAAGTTGAATCTCAACTGTGTTTATAGAAGTACCTTAACAACCACGGAAGTGTCTTCATTTAGTCAAGAACATTTTTTTTATTCTTCCTGTTTTTTTTTTCTGTTGTCGGGGCAACAGTGTGAATAGAATAAATGTGAATTGACACCCCAGCCAATGTGGTCACCTTGGGAGAGTGTGATAAATAGGCAGTGTCCACGGTCTGACCCCATGGGAGCCTGTACCGTAGCAGTTGTGTAGAAGAGGAAGACAGGGGAGGCAGATGTCCCGCTGAAGAGGCTCCCCACCCCAGGCTCTGCTGGTCAGCTGTGTTGGATGCTGCTGCTGAGAGCGAGGCTGAGGACAGAAGTGTTTCATTTGGATTAGCCCCATCTGGAGGTCACTGGTGATCTGGAAGAGCAGTTTCAGTTGAGTGGTCCAGATAGACACCAGATTGGAATGAGCTGAAGAGGGAATGCTGTCGGACAAAGGGCTAATTTTCTTACTTTTAAGTAACCACAGCAAATCATTGAGAAGACTAGGCCAGTAGAAAAATGGACGAAGGATATAAACAGACAGTTGGCAGAAAAGTGAAGAATAAAGGGCTCTGAAAGATACCAACAGTGCTCCTAAGACAGTGGTGTGAGGAAACAGGCATTTCTCCATCGCTGCTGGGAATATGGATAGGTGCGACCTCCACGGAGGGCCGTCTGGCAGTATGCTTCTAATTAGAAATGGTCTAGCAGCTCCTCGCTGGGAACTCGGGCGGATTTTTGTAATATGAAAACTAAATGGTCATCAGCTGTGGCCTGGCTCAGTCAGCTGTGATACATGGAAAGTCTGTATCAGGTAAAACATACTCTCCCGGGCAGCAGGATCTGTTGTTGTTTTTTTCCCCACCACTCCATAAATCAGGCTCTTTGGGAGTGATTCCCTACCCCTTATAAAGATTGAGGAAAGTATCAGTGGGCTGGTGTAGGCCACAGAAGGTATTTGGAAATGCACCTTTGAAGAGCTGTGTTAAGCCTGTCATTCTGCCTCGACCGTCTGCCTTGTAATAAGTTATTAGTCTGTATTCCCTTCTCCAGATACCTGTTAAGATACTTTTTATTTCTTTTTTCCCCCCAGAGTTCAGCTTTTTTATTGAACATGTTACAAGAGGTTTAGTCAAAAAGACCAAAGCCCATGTCATCATCAGACTCCTCAGACTCTTCTTTCTTTGCTTCCCCTTTCTGCTCCTCAGCTGGGGCAGCAGTGGCAGAGGGGGCAGGACCTCCTGCTGGGGCAGGTCCACCAGCCCCCACATTGCACATGAGGCTCCTGATGTTGACATTGGCCAGAGCCTTTGCAAACAAGCCTGGCCAGAAAGGTCCAACATTTACATGGGCTGCTTTAATGAGGGCATTAATCTTATCCTCTGTGACCGACACCTCATCGTGGTGCAGGATGAGGGCCCAGTAGATGCTGGTGACCTCTGAGAAGGAGGCCATGGTGCAGGAAAGTGCTGGGCGAGCGCCGTGGGGCGTGGTGCTAGTCCCCAGATGAAGTGAGGGCCTCACCCCAACATGGCCTTGGCTTCCTGGGAAGGACCGAGCCCCTTCCCGGCAGCTGAGGAAAGGGCCAGACCCTGTCCTGTTGATGTATGTACTGGGCTGTGCACCCCTGGAAAGCCTCCATGAATGAATTCACACCCCAGCTACCTTACTGCACCTAAAAGTGACCACAGCTCCTCTCGGGAGAGCGTCCCATTTTACTTGGTTTGGGTCATTGACAAAGTAAGCAAGATACGATGTGTGAGAACCGGGAATGTAGCAGTGGGGTTGATTATACTGCCGCTGTCTGATGTGGGAGGAAGACTTTCTTGGTCAACTCTTTGTGAAGAGTTGTGAAGGGAAAGGACAGACCTTAGTGAGCTGTATGTTCTGCCACCTGCACTAACCTGGTTCTGCTGACCTTTCTGTACTTCGCCTTCTTTGGAGATAGCACGAGTTCACGTACAGACTTAAAGAAAAATGAAAAGCCAGGAACACCCAAACTGACCAAATCAGCCTCCCACCAGAGTACGCTGATGCCGTGCATCCTCTGTTATCAGGACTCAGATATCTTGGTTAAATTGACTTCGTTTCCTAAGAGTTGGAGACTACGGCTGTGCAATGATTCCTTTTTCTTCATTTCATTGAATATCCTGGTTTCACTTCATTAATATTTTGTATTTCATGTTTCCTTACTTCTTAGAACCATAGGAAAGAAGTTTAGGATTTGCAGCATCTTAAGTGGTGGTTTAATCCTCTCATTTTACAGATAAGAAAACAGGCTCAGAGGATGAGGTTACTTGCCCGAATCCTGTTCTCTCAGTCTTCCCCGGGAAGCCTGGTGGTGTGAGGGGTAATGTGTTAACCCTGCACCATCAGGCCGACGTCACCTGCCATCATTTTGAGGGTGTGTGTGACTTTACTGACATTGCAGCAATTCTAATGAAGACTATTTATTTGCGGCACTAATTTATTTACAGTCATGGAGGTAATCTAGTTGAACTACATTGTTTGGTTGAGAAAGTTGAAGCCTAGAGATGTGAGTTTATTCAAGATTATATAGACCATAAACATTTATTCTGTGCTTAGTTTTTAATGTGAGTCAGAGCAGCGCTGTCCTGTAGAACTTTGTCAATGCTGACTGTGAACACAATTGAGAATTCGATTTCTTAGTCTCACAGCCACATTGCAGGTACTCAGTAGCTGTGGGGGGCTGGTACCTACCGTATTGGGCAGAGCAGGCCTAGAGCACTTAACAAAAAATATTTTTGGAGAACTTTAAAAGTGTTAGTGTAGAGACCAAGGCTTCACGAGTATGATTAGAATTGCCAACTAGAAATTGGGTTTGTTTCAAAAGTAGGAAAAATGTACTCTCCGAGCTTGCGACAGTGCTACACAGCTCAGTGGTTGAAGCTTGGGCCTGGTTTCTATTTCATCCCTTCTTCAGGACAGCAACCGAGAACCTGTATAGAGTTTTCTTCCTTTTCCATCACTTAGGTATCTTGTTTGCCAGTCGAAAATCCTATCCTGAGTTGCATTTTCAGTGAACACATTCGTTCACCTTCACAGTGCTCAGCATAGCATGCCTTTCAGTCTCTAGACTTTTATTTCACATAGTAATCACTTGAATTCCAAGATGCGTTACAGAAAGTTTCGATGTCTTTCTTGCCATTGTACTCTGGATTATGGCAGTTTCAGCTTAGACGTCAGTTGGGCTGGATGTGTGCTGGGGCTGAGCCGGCTGGGCATAGCTTGGTGTTTGGGATCAAGGGTCTTTCGTGCCGTTGCTCTACATCTTTGGATGTTGTCGTAACAGGCAGAGTTGGTTCTCCGGGCTTTCCTTGGGCTGCTAATTTACTAATTTATGACTTGGCTCCATTTTAATAGCAACTTAGATTGGGCTGGCTTCATGCATGACTGCAGTGAGTTGAGTGTCCATTAGGATGCATAGCCAGACAATGATGTCATCCAACCAGGTGCCAGTGTTTGTGCTTCAAGTACTTTCCATACATAATTTTACTTTTAAGAGGTGGTAGTATGGATTTACCTTGGGTGTTTTATACTTTGAGCAGTAGTCTTTTTGCATTCTTGGTACGGTGATTTTTGATTAGTGATTTAGAAGCCTTGATATTCTTGCCATGGCTTGTATTAAAAGGATTGGTGTTTCTGAAATTAGCTGGGGAGTGTGTATGTGTGTGTGTGTGTGTGTGTGCACGCGCGCGCGTGTGCGCGCGCGGTCACGTGTTCTCATGCGCGCTTAGTTTTGAGGAGTTTTGTAGTCACAATTTTGTGCGTTTTTTCCGTACCACAGCATGCTAGGCACTGAGGATGAAATGGTGAACAAAACCTTATAGAGGTGGGTTCTCTTCCACCTCTTTGGATGGGGTGATTTGGGGAACTACGTGAGGATAACGTGCAGAAATGGGTCGGGACCCATATTAAAATGATACCCCAATTGTGTTCGCCCCTGTAGTACTTCCCTATAGTAGTGAGAACCAGAGTTACTTGCTTTTGTGTGCCCAGGCTTCAGGCTGTATCACCTGTCTGTAACTGAGAGGGTGTTTTTAGCTGGCTGTGATATAAGGAGGAAGTGCTTTCTTGCCTGTTATGTAATAGCTATGACTTCCTCTTGTGAATTTGCAGTAGTCAGGAATATCGTGGAATTTATAGTAAACATTTATATGACCGTGTGGAGCAGATGATAACTGCCTTTTATTCTAAGGTGAGCTTTTTCAAAAAGTTAATTCAGTGTTCAGTGTAAGGGTTATTTGGAATAAGCCCTTCTTATCCTCAACTGTAAAATAGGAATAATACCTCAGAGGATAGAGAAGCACGTGTATAATGCTCACACACAGGCTGTGCCAGGTAGATGTTCACTCTCTCTGGTCTCGAGTTCTGGGACTAAGCAAGCACACATTTAGATACTGTTTTGTTGAGAATGTATTCTTTTGCTGTTTTAAGCCTAACCAGCCCTCATTACTGACTGATCGAGTTTTATAATTATGCTGTCCTTGCTTTCTCTTCAGTGGCCTTAATCAGAATCCATAGGGTTGAAAAGAGGAGACCCTTTGGGATAGGATTAGGTTATATGGCTATTGAATAAAATGTGACTCTTTCATGAAACGATTGGCAAAAATAAATATAGTACTGTATATTGTTATATTTTTTAATCTTGATTTCCATTTTTGAAGGGCTCTTCTGGGTCCATTTACTCTGAGAATAATCTAATGATACCAACGGCCATAGACTGAACGTTGGTGTCCCCCCAAGAGTCATATGTTGAAACCTAATCCTCAGGGTGTTGGTATTGGGAGGTGGGACCTTTGGGAGGTGATTAGGGCATGAGGGTGGAGCCCTCATGAATGGGATCTGTGCTCTTACAAAAGAGCCCCCACAGAGCTCCCTCCTCTTCCCACCATCTGAGGACACCGTGAAAAGATGGCCGTTTGTGAACCAGGAAATGGGTCCTCATTAGACACTGACCCTGTAGATGCTGTGATCTTGGACTTCCCAGTCTTTAGAGAAGTGAGAAGTAAATCCCTGTTGTTTATAAGCCATTGTAGCAGTGGATAACAGACTAAGACACCACCTGTTAAATGACATACTATTTCCTAGCAAATCCATGTGTTTTCTCCTTCAGCTTCCATGACGTGGTGCTGTTGCTCCCACTGCCTTTTGGTAGTCTGCTCTCTAGCCATGCCTCTTTCTCGTTTTTGTCCTTTAATTGTGGTGTAAAACTTATAGTTTCCTAGAAATTAAATACCTGGGGAGAATTCCCCCCTTTTGAGCCTCTGTATTCTTTGGGAAGAACCTTTCATCATCCTCGTGGATTTCACCATCATCTGTATATTTTAACTTTCAAAACGAACATCTCTTTCTGGCCTAGTTAGCTTGTTTTGTTTTTTTTAAGATTTTATTGGGGAATTGGGGGAGGGGAACCAGACAAGTTTCTGTCCTTTTGTTCTTCAGTCTAGTTGTGGAGGACACTTCTTCACTGGCCTGCGTTGGTATTATCACTGCGCTCTTCCCAGGTGAGGCAGTTGCTCGCCGGCCATTGGGTGGCAGCTCACGAAAGCTCACGCCCGTTGCCGGCCAACCCCACTGCAGCCTACGCTGTCATCGGAGACTCACGGCAGCCCAGCTCCAGGTCGAGCTGTTGTTCATCGTCTTAGCTATAGAGGGCGCAGTGTCACTGGCTCTCATGTGGGATCCGAACCGGGGCCCTGCTGCTCAGAGCTGGCGTCCCAAGCCAACTCCTAACCAGTGCGCCACTCGGCTGGCCCCCTAGTTAGCTTTTTATCAGCGGTCTCATGTCATAGTTTGTCTGGATACGTTAAATTCTCTCTAAGCCAGGATCAGGAGCTCTTTGTCTTCATTTCTTTTTTTTTTTTTTTAAGTTGCAGAAAAGGAGTTTATTAGAAGTAAAAATACATTTCAAAGAAGCAGAAGCAGGAGAAAAAGTAGAGAATGGCTCAAGGGCCATTATTAGAAAAGAAAGCAACACCAAAGAGTTTGGAGCAGGCCTGATCAGAGGCAAGGCTCAAAATGCCCAAAAGGCGTTGACTGGCCAGGACTTGGAGTTTTTATCCCTTCTTCCTCTAGAATGGGCAGTTCCTCTCTGGGTGTGCACCTGATTGATCTCATCCCTTTAGAAAAGGAGTTTATTTGAAGAAAAGAGAAGTTTTTGGGTGGTGAGGAGAGGTTTTTTGGGCTGTGGGACAAGCAGGAATGCAGATACCCACTGCCTGCCTCTAGCTGCCTGTCTTGTTTTCCCTTCATTTCTTAAACAATGCTTTTCTAACTCTCCTTCACCACCAACACCCTCTCGGTACCCACAGACTTAAATCAGTTTTTTTTTTCTACTTCTCTCTCCATTTATTCTTTCACCAAGCCTGCTTAATTCCTTCTGCAATTTAATCGGCTAATGTCTGTAGCCACTGGCACCATATTTAAAGCTT